CAAAGTCCATATTTTCATCTCTGATTATGGCCCTGTCTGTAAACACACCTACTGGGAATGACCTTCGTTACAGAACAAATTATCACATTTTTACATACTTTAAACTAAAATAAAAATATTATATTGCAATACTTCAAGAACTTTTCATGATATACAACGTGTCATGATTTTTATTTCTTCATACATGATCAGTTGGAACAGAGAAAAAAAAAAGTTAAAAATACCAACAAAAACTGATTTTTTTTTAGTATTTGTCACTAAATCCAGTTGAACATGACTGATTTTGCTCTCTTTATAATGAAATATGCAGTTTGTCAGGGTCTACAAGCACTGATGATATACAAAATATGTTCAGAAAAGCATGCTGTCTTGTATTATGCCATTATTTATCATGATTACAATATATATTGTTATATTGACCATCCCTATTTGAACATGCTCTCAGCTAACTCTGATGGAGTTCAGTGCCTATACTGACACAACTCAATATTATAATATTTTCCAAATATGTCACAGCAGCAGATGAATTAATAAAGTTAATAAGCTATCATTAAGTGAACGGCAGGTAATAAGTTAGCAATAATAAAGTAAATATGTAAGCCTTAATAAAGTAGATGAACCTATGCATTAATGAAGTAAATACATTAGTATTAACATTATTCATTAATTAGCATTAATTAACATTTGTCATCATTAGCATTAATGCTGTTATAAATTGGCTTTAATAAAGTTAATTGGTTGGCATTAGTGAAGTGAATAAGGAAAAATTAATGAAGTTAATAAGTTAGCCGTAGGTGGGCAAGCTATTTTAACAATCCATGATATGCTGAGAAAAGCAAACTGTGACATAATTTATTAAAATAATAAAAATTATTGTCACATTGCCCAATCCTAGATAGCATTAATGAAGTTAATAAGTTAGTAAAACTTAAGAACTCGTGCATTAATAAGGTTAAAGAGCTTATGCTCTTTATTTTTTATATAAAGTTAATACATTAGCATTAGTCAATGTGTTAGCATAACAGTTAATAATAATAAAAGGTTAACAGATTAGCCTTAATAAGTTTAACAACTTCACATTAATGAAATTAATTAGCCCATGCTCTTAATTTTGAAGTGTATTGAATCAAAACACCAACAAAACGAATGAATTCGAATATGAGGTGTACAATATGATAATATTTTATCATTATCATGATAAATACACTTTCCTGACTTTATCATTAGTACTTAAGGAACAATGACTAACTACACATTTCAAAGTGAGCATAATCAGCATAATTAGGCCTGATTAATTAGATTTAACACAGTACAGTGTGTAAAACACTGAATACAATCATTGTAATTGTATGGTTATTATTATTGTATGTATTATCATCATCATCATTATTGTACTTTGTGTCACTACAGGTTCTATTTTGTCTGTTCCAACTTATTAGATCTCAAAGAGACTAAATATCGTGATGCATAACTTGGATCGTGAGAAGTATTGTGATATAATATTTTTGTCATATGTCTCGGATTCCTGAGTCATTACAAGTCATAATATGATTATGATCCGACTGGGGGCGCGGTGGGACCTAAGAGCACTGCCTATCTTAGATAATATATATTTTGTACAGGTTTTTAATGTTTATAAAGTGTAAATTATAGGATATATATAAACCTCCGACTAAAACCCACAGAGCACACCCATATTTTAAAATCCCCTCAACTGAACAAGAAATACACAAAAAATTACTGAAAATAGAGCAGGTCATCGCCTTATTCGCCAGCTTCTTGTTCAAATTTTCCGTTCCACCTTAAACGGTGCAGCAGTTACATTCAGTATCCTGAGGCGTTCTAGTAATTACTGCTGCACCATTTAAGGTGGAACGGTAAAATTTGAATAAGAAGCTGGCGAACAAGAAGCCAGCTTAAGCCTCGAATATTATTATTATTATTATTATAAATTATTGTAATAATAATTCTTAATAATAATAATAAATCAGATTCTCAATTCTAAATAATTAAACTGATTAAATTATTCAAACTGACTCTGTAGTCTCAGCATTAGCGGCGTTAGCCGTTAGCATTAGCGAGAATAAAGATGAACTGCAGGTCTAAATCTGAATGTCACAGTTTCAGCTCAAATCTCAGGTTTAAAGACGATCTTACCTGCTCAACCATCAAAGTAGAATCTCTATTTTTCATCTAGAACGGCTTTAAATGTCTGGAAATATTTATTTATGCAGACATCACTCAGCAGATGAGAACACACCGTCAAAATCAAAACTTCCTCTCCGACACTATTCAAAATAAAAGTCGCGGCTTTTCAGCAGCGTAATGTCGCTGATTTTCGAATGTAATACAAAAATAATTCATCCAGGGCATGAGGGAGGTATTGAACACATTCATAACCCTTAATTCTGGAGAGTATGTACAGCAATCGAGTCACCATAAACTACAAACCTCCCAGTAACAAGTAACAGAGAGAAAGTATAACCATAACGAATAACAAACATTTTATTTTGAAAATACATCAGAAGCTGTATGTAAAAACATGAATATGTAACATAATATATAACATAAAATAAGTACTTTTCTGACCTCTTGTCTGGTTGCCAAGCAGTAATTATAATATTTATGATTAAAATATGTAATATGAGTATATATAAAATATATAAAAAATATAAAATATGTTATATGAGTGTAATCATAACTCTTATAATGGTAATATTGTTGATGATTGACATGTTAGTAATGCAGGACCGGTTCATCTCCTGGTTTGTATTCAAACGGACTGGGATTTCATCGGTCCTCGTGTCTGAAAAAGACAAGTTTAAAATTGAATTATTAGCAATTTTGCTTTGGGGAGTACAGGTTTTTTGTTTGTTGCGTCACTAGATGGCGCTCTAATATAGTGATACCCTTCAGTGCTTTTCTGTGACAGAACTGCACATCATGCGTTCGCGTTTCATTCCTGCTCCCAAAGCACCCTCACTTCCCCCCTCGGCGTCCTGTACAGTGCAGAGTTTACGTTAACAGATAGGTGGCACTTCCCCCACGAGCCCCGCCCCCTATAGTGAGGTGTGCCCATTTTATGTCAAAAAGTGCTAATTTAAATATATCCGCCCTTTCAGCCTACAGCATTTTGGCCCCGCCCATTCAGCATGTACCTGTTTGGCCCCGCCCATTCACCGTACAGCAGTTTAGCCCCGCCCATTCACACAGAAGTTATAAAGAGTGTTTTAGCCTGGCCTGCTTTTTGAATGAGACACAGCCATTTAGAACAAAGCTCATTTACATATATCAGTCTTGAAGGTGCAGTAAAAAGAGAGGCTGTAAGATCATCACACACATCTTAAACAAGATGGTTCTTCAAGGGTTCTTTAGTAAAGAAAATGGTTCTATATAGAACCCTTTGTATGATCAAATGGTTCTCTGCATGGTGAAATGGTTCTTAAGATTGATGGATAATGTGCTGTAAATGGTTCTACATAGCATTAAAGAGGGTTCTGCTATTGATAGAAGCTTAACATCATCACAATATATCTCATCTTTTTGGTGCTATGTAGAACCATATACAACACATTTTCCATCAATCTGAAGAACCATTTCACCATGCAAAGCATGCAAGTGATTCTTTGAGTGTTCATTGGTCTATATAGAACCATTTTCCTTACTAAAAAACCCTTGAAGAACCATCTTTGTTAAGAGTGTGTGCTGGTCTGTGTAGCAGCCAGAACATTTCAGCTTCCCTTGTGACGTTGTTGGTTTGGTTGATAAGAACTGTGAGGAAATCACCAGAGCTTCCAATTAAAGACACATAACGGCTTTCAATCAGGGAACATCCGCCCAAGTTTCACTTCTGCAGTAAACAGAACTCTGTGTGCTGCTGTAAGACTTTCCTACATTCTACATTAATCATCAACAACAGCTAATTAAACATCCTTTCTGTGAGCACTAAAAAACATTTAATCAAACTGTTTCTCTTTGTGTTTTGTGTGATGGTGGGGGAAATGTTTTGTTGAGAGGGGTTCAACCAGATAACTTACGCCCGAAGTCAAGCCTGTCCAACAGAAAAAAGAGCTGAGGGACACTCCTGTTGGACAGTCCTCACATTTGGGCTTAAGTTATCTGGCTAACTGAGAAATCCTGCTTTGTGAAATGTCCTCTTGTCAAAGATGAATAAAAGCAAAACTTACCAGCTGGCTTACAGGGGAATTCCACCAATTTCCCAAAATTCCCCATAATTTAGTGTGTGAGATGTAAACAAAGTCATTCAGAACGGTATGGTGTGAAATGGTTCAGATTTCTTTACAGTTGTGGTGATGGGAACCAGAGGTCACCATGATTACAACACAAATATAGATATTTTATTTACATCTTAACCAATTAGGTGGTTAAAATGCAAACAGAGTCATTCAGAGTGGTTTGGAGTGAAATGCTCCGCTCTAGAGAAACTTATTGAGTGAGCATTGCTTACAGTGGTGGTGATAGGAACCAGACGGCCACCTCTAAAAGCTCCCTCACAGAAAGTTACTACATGAAATGGTTATGAATTCACTGCCTGATGTCTGAGACATTGTTTCATGATAGTTTTGAGAACTTAAACTCCATTCATGGTGGAGGGATACATAATACGCAGGGCGCTGTGAGGCAAAATAGTCCCCAAAGAAAACTTATTTTATTTCCAATTATCCGATATTTTCCCATCATCAACATTCCATATAAAACTTAGAAGAAACGTACCGGTTCACTGGTGGTTTTGGATTGTAAATAAAATGTCTATTTGTGTTGTAGTCATGGCGACCCCTGGTTCCTATCACCACCACTGTAAAGACAACTGAATCACTCTCAAGGACTTAATTCTTACGAAATTTTGAAAAAATGGTGGGATTCCCCTTTAAGCAAAACCGAGCCGGGTTTATTTTGCGTGTTTTTAACACCCAGTTTAGTCCGTCAGCCAATCAGAGCGCAATAGGCGGGACTTAGGCGGAGCAGTGGGCGGAGCTCTAAGCGCCTAAAGATGCTGGCCGTCTTCAGCCAGCTAGCCAGTTAGCCGAAAACATGCCAAATTAGAGAAAAATCTGATTAAATATTGGACATTTGGATGCGGGAGAGCAGCGGGATTATGGCGGGAATCATTAAAAAGCAAATCCTGAAGCATTTGTCCAGGTAACGGTAACAAAGACAGCCGGAGCTCTTTTGTTTTTTAAACTGAAATGAATGCTAAAGCTGCTGTGGCCTTAAATCTTCATTAAGCTGTAATGCCGTTTGGTTTTGTGTTTGTTTATGGATCCTAATCGAGTATAAATCGCTGTTTCCTCTTTTATTTCAGAATGAGAGGCGCTGCTGTAGATTCTGTTCTGTTTAAGTAGGCAGCTAGCCGGTGAGCTAACTAGCGCAGCTAATTTAATAGGCTTTTAATCTTTAAATCAGCTTCTTCTCTGTTTGGCAGCAAAAAGCCTAACAGTAAACACTCATTTCCAGCTCAGTGTCAGAAGCTCAGAAGTGTATTTATGTATAAAATGTATTAAAATCAGTCCCTTTTCTGCCCTCACTGGTGCTGAATGTTGAATAAATATCCATACATCTCAAATCAGCTTATTATTCATGAAAATATGCAAATAATTTGCCCCAAACTTGGTTCTATAATGATTCTATATAGAACCATGAACACGAAAGAGCCATTGGTGTGCTTAAATGGTTCTTTGCATGGTGAAAGGGTTCTTCAGAATGGTGGAGAATGTGTTGTGTTTGGTTCTACATCACTAAAATAGATATATTTTTATTTTTACAAGCTTGACATTATAACAATAGCAGAACCATTTTTAGTGCTATGTAGAACCATATGAAACACATTCTCTATCAATCTGAAGAACTATTCACCATTTAAGCATACAGATGGTTCTTTGAGTGTTCATGGTTCTATGTAGAGACATTATCTTTACCAAAGAACCGTTGAAGAACCATCTTTAAGTGTGACAGGGTGAGCAACATGACAAAATGTAATGTCACGATTCTTCAAGTTTTATATGATACAGGATGTGTCGCATTGTTTCATTTTTTGGCATCTGATCAGTTAGAACAGACCACATTTTAAAAATGCTATCAAAAAAGAAAAATTCAGTATATTATATTTATATTATATAATATAATATATTATATTACATATTATATTTATATTATATTATATTTATATTTATATTATATTTATATTCAGAATTTTACACTGTGCTGCACTAAATCCAATTAAACAGGACTAAGTTCTTGCTCTTTTTAATTAAACAAGCAGAGGGAGTTGTTTTTAGGCCCTAATGATGTTCACGAAATGTTCAGAAAAGCATATTGCGATGCTGTTTGTTGCAGTAATGATAAATATTGCACAGCTCCACCTAAACATGAATGAAGCTCTGCCTGCTGGAGTCTTTGATTCTACATTTGCTTCAATTTTCCTTTAATATTAATTTAATCCTCTTTATTTTCCCTTATTCCCTTTATTATGTTTTTGGTTGTTAACTTTCTACTGTTTCTGCATTCACTCACCGCCTTCTGGCGTTGGTGTTCTTACTTCTACCCACTTATCCAGACTTTCTAGCTCCTCCTGCACCGCTTCTTGTTTTTCCTGCACCTGTTTGGCATCATTCCTAATGATAATGTGATTCTGGAGCTGAATCAGCAGGAAAACACCTGTGCAGGTGATCCACAGCACTGCAGCTGGATTAAATGGAGTCAGTTAAAATGACTCTTATCTCTCCTCCTGTTGGACGAGCCTCACTTCTAACCCCGCCCTGCTTTTGGTGTTATTAGACGTCTAGCAGGCTAGCTTGTTCCAGCTGGTCATTAGGTTTGGGCACTTCACAGTTCAATTAGATTTCGATTCAGGGTGCCAAGATGCAATTCATCTTGTTTGTTTTATTTATTTTTTTTTTACCTAAAATATGATTTAAAATTAAAAAATAATAACCTAAAGGCCTTAAGGCTTGTTTTACTGTCTGATTGGTTTAAGCTAAAATAAACACCTGAATTTTAGTTGATCTTTGTGTGTCTCATTGTCCACAGTGTAGCTCAGTGTTTATTTTTTAAATCATCGATTTTGGCTATTGATGAAATATATGATTTAATAAAAAAGACTGGAAAGCATCAGGAGTTCTAGTCACTTCTTAATTTTTTTTATAGTTTTCTGCCATTTTCTAATGACTCACTGCATTAGGACAGGAAGGTAAAAGGTCAGGGTGAATGAAGCAATGGATAAATTAAGAGTTCTAACATCTTTTGTACTTTTATCTGGAGTGAAGGCAATGCTTAAATCGAGTATCTGCTTCATCACTGTCATTTATACTGAGATTTTTTATCCCATGCAAATCGCTCATGAACAGACATCCTGCTGTAAACTGGCATCACCCATCTCCTTATGCAAAACTAAATGCTAACTGGCAGGACTAATTGTTGAGACTAAAGCCCTATTCGGATAGGATTGATCACTGGCTCAGTGTGGTCAGTTATCAGACAAATAAGTTTGTCTAAATTTGCATTCCTACGGGGTACATGAAATTTTTGGCTTGACTATCACTTTAAGTGATCTGGCTCACTGAGAAATTCCCCAGATTTTATAGATCAGTGTTTGATGCCCCAGTTGGACTCGTGTCCTGGTTCGTGTCCTGCAGCTGTTATTTTGCCTCTCACTCTGTGTGTTGCCTCATGTTCAATGGGCAGGCAGTGGGTGTAAAGCACATGCTCAGTGCGGTGTGTGTTAGTCACGGTTCTTTCACTGCCAGCGACTCACTCAGCTCACAATCAGAACAGATTCTACTCACACTGATTTGGAATCAGTCATTTCGCTCCCACTGCGTCCGACATCCTCCACACATACTCATCCTGCTCTCATGACGCCCAGCAGCAGTGACGTGTCCTCCTTCTCCCCGTTCTTATTTCTCTGGACTGTTTTATTCTTATTCCAGTAGGCCAGTCTGTTCTTATGCCTGCATTGTTATATCTGTTTGTGTCTTATTCCTATTCAAATTTCTTCATATTTCTTTGGCCCATGCTGATCCAGTCCCTTCTTATTCCTACCGGTCGGTCTGTTCTTATTCCTGTAGGCTGAGCCAGTCCCTCTTTATTCCTGAAGGCCAGTCTGGTCCCGTCTTATTGTCGCGGACCGGGCCGCTCCTTCTTTATTCCTTTATTCCTGCAGGCCGGACCGACCCCTTCTTATTCTTGTTGACCAAGCCAGTTCTTCTATCCCTGCAGGCCTGTTTGGCCCTTTCTTATTCTTATGAGCCGAGCCAGTCCCTCTTTATTTCTGCAGGCCGGTCCGGCCCCATCTTTTTCCTAACGGCTGAACCAGCCCCTTTATTCCTGCAGGCCGGTCTGGCCCCTTCTGATTCCTATGGGCTAGGCCACACCCTCTTTATTCCCCTTATTCCCTCGGGCCGGTCCGGCCCGGTCTTATTTCTGTGTGCCAAGCCGGATCCTCCTTATTCCTGCAGGCTGGTCTGGTCCCATCTTATTCTTGTGGGCCAGGCCACTCTTTCTTTATTTCTCTGGGCCCTATTTCTGCAGACCTGTCTGATCCCGTCTTATTTCTATGGGCTGGGCCACACCCCCTTTATTCCTACAGGCTGGGCTGGTTCCCTTCTTATTTCAACAGGCCTGTCCGTTCTTATTTCAACAGGCCTGTCGTTATTCCTATGGCCCGGTCTGCTCATATTTCTAAGAGCTATTCCTACAGCTTGGTCCATTCTTGCTCTGCTAGGCTGGGCTGGACTGTTCCTGTCTTTTTTTTCCCTCTGGCCAGTCCCCTCTTATTCCCATGGAACAGGCACTTTCCTTTTTTTGGCTGGGCTAATCCCACTTATTCCTGCGGCCAAGTCCATTCTTATTCCTGCAGCTTAGTTCATTCTTATTTCTGTGGGCCAGGCCAGTCTATTTTTCCCCAGGATGGACCCAGTTCCTATGGCTGGATTTCTTGTTGTTTGTAGGAGCAAGTCCCTTTTTTATTCCTGCAGGCGAGGCTGAGCCATTCCTTCCTTATTCCTGCGGTCTGTTCCCTTCTTATTCCTGTGGGTTGGGTTGGTTCCTTCTTATATCTATGGGCTCTTCTGGTCTTATTTCAGAATGTAAACCAAATGTTAATATAACATATGTGTCTGTGTAATTTTACGTAATCATGTTTAAAATTATTACGTAATGTAAATTGAATATATAGCAGGATACATGTAGAGTTTTTAAGCTACAGTAACCACATTGACCAAGGAGTGTTGCACAGTTTCACTGTGATTTAGAGACTCTCAGTTCTAGTCCAGCTGTGTCAGAGTTGAGTATTTAGAGCAGAGGGATTGGATTGAGACTGTAATGAAACTTCAAAAGTGATTTCGTAAGATTTGAAGAGTGTGTTTCAGAATTACTCAAACAGTCGCCTGCAACAGTGCTTAGCGCTGATATTAACCCACAACATTCTCCCTTTCTGTAATAGTAATGCTGTTTATTATGATGGACCAGCAGTTGGCTGTTGGTCAGATCCTGGGTGTGACTTCCTGTTGGTTCTACTCTTTAGAGTTGGACATTGAGGATAATCCTAAATTATGTTATTTATTATGTTATGATAAAATATATCTGATGTGATATATTTTAATCAAGTCAAAATTAAATGTGCCAGTGTTGGTTTATTACTGTTTTATTTTGATTAATTTATTTTTTTGTTATTATCACTGCTGGAAGTGGAGAGCCTTGTCCTGCTTTCAATTACATCCAATAATGTACTGTGCCTCTATGACGTGAGATATTGTGTTATGTCTGTATTATTTTGTGTGTGTGTATGTGTATGTGTGTGTGTGTGTGTGTGTGTGTGTGTGTGTGTGTGTTAGTTAAGGGAGTTCCCTTCAGGAACAGCTGCATGAAAGAACATTAGCGAACACAGGACTGCAGTGCGGTAGATAACACAGCCTCATCTCATCTCAGAGTAATGAACCAGACTATTTAATTTTATCCATTTGGGTAACAGATAACAGCACAAAATCACATTCAGCTCAGAATCACATTCGGCTCAGATTCAGCACTGAATCAGCATTAGCACAGATTTAGAATAATAAATTACGTGTCAGCTTCAGCACTGAATCTGCGCTGAATCAGAATCATCACAGAATCAGATTTAGCATCAGCACAGAATCAGATTC